TATTTCACATCATGTTTCGAGGACAAAACACTGACTTTAACTTGTGATTTATAAATTAAGATGCCAAAGATTTTTAATTGTAAAATTGTAAAGATTTTCAAATAAAGATATTTTCAAATATGTAACATTTTTACTGTGTCAGGTAAAGTACCTTGTGAGGACATTTTTATTTTTAATATGGCCTAACAATGAAAGGCAATACAGCTGTACAAGAACCAATCAAAAGTTTGGACATGCTTGACTGAATTTATGTTTCCCATGATCCTACAGACCTTTTGATATAAAGACTAGTGTTATTGTTTACTAAAACTATTAAAAATCTTTTTTTGTTGTTGAAATAATGTTGAAATAAAATAAAATATAAATATTTGATCAAAAAACTTGAACGAAAAAAATAGAAATTTGAACGAAAAAATGAAAAAAAAAACTAATAAAAAATGACAAAACATAAAATTATTGAAACAATGGACAACTGTCAGAAATGTAAAACTGACAACTGACAACTGAAAAAACTGACAACTGAAAAAATCTAAATAAAAGTCAATTCAAAATTATATATATATATATATATCCACCTTATTTTTCCCATAAGAGGGGTGTCATCCACTTTCAGCTATTCTTAGCTGTACAAAACAACTCGTTTTGTTGCTTGATATTGCAAACTGGTGTTTCTTACCATATTATTTTGATGTGTTGTCTTAGTTATAAACACTTGTAGCACAAACAATTTGACCATTTATTGCACTTTGTCATTCTTCTTGTTATTTCCCTACCGCGGCTAATGAAGCGGAAGTCTCACACATTCACAGAAAACAGCTTACTTCCCCATTGAAAAATAAGGTGGATATATATTATCATTATTATTTTTTTACGAGATGCACCATTCAATTTGTGTTAGTTCATAGTTTTAATGTCTACTATTATTCTATCATGTGAAGAATACTAATAGTATAGAATTAATAGGTTTGTCCAAACTTTTAAATGGTACCAGATATGAATTTGTGGCTGTTTACAGTATATGCGTGCATGTGTGTGAGTGGATCATGGCTTGGAAATAGAGTCATGCATGTATAAAGTATCAGGGTTTTCATGGGCTACAGGCCAGCAGGTGTGTGTGGGTGAGTGAGAGAGTGAGTGTGTTGGGGGGCTTTGGCTGTGCAACTAAGTATAAATATTTCACCCTCTTCTCCAGTTCCCTTTTGTTCATCATCATAGTGGCTCGATGGCTAATCCCTTTAATCCACAGCTCAACGAATGAAAGGAAGAGAAAGCATGTGAGGGAGACATAAAAGTCCCATTAAGGATTGCAGAATGCGAAAGAAATTAATATATAAAATAATATATTATTTTTTTACATCTGATTATGTGATGTGAAAAGGAGCCAAAATGTGAAAAGAAGAGGATAAAACATTAATGGGAGTATAAAAAAACAAAAATGTGAATTTGTGTGTTGTGAGGCTGTGTCTTTTTGTTTGAAATGAGTCACAATGAGTGTTCTGATCTTTAGAAAAAGGATGTCACGATTCAGGGAGAATGAATCTGGAAAGAAGAACCCTAAAATGCCTCAAAAACGAAAGAAAAAGGAGACTGAAAATCACAAGGTATAGCTCTTCCACAAAAATTACCTACAGTAAATTGATTGAATTTACAAGTTAATATACAGTACAATATAAAATATACTGTTTAAAGACTCATAATTATGTGTGTGGTATCACTATACAGGACAATGCAGTGATGTCAAAGGATAGGCTCCCTCTGATTGGTTCATCAACCAATAAAACTGCAGGTACTTTTATAGTCTATATGGAATCAATAGTGCATTGTTATATGATAAGGTGTTGTCAGATATCATCTGATTTAACTGGAAATCAGATGTTTTCATAAGTTGGATTTAAGTAGTCATTGCCTGTGAGGTAATGCTAATCAATCCTGATGTGTGACATATAAACTGTGTGTTTACATTGATCTTTGTTCCTTCTGTCTACACAATGTTACCTGAGCTCATCAATAGACAATAGAAATTTAGGAGGTGCTAAATTAATTAACTGCTATTGTCCAAACATTCGTCTTTCTAATGTGACTTGTTAGGCGAGAGGATAATGGGAACTGAACATGTGTGTGAGATAAAGTTAAAGATTTATGAGATCCTGTTTCCTACAACAAAACAGGTAACTGATTATGTTTATAAAAGCTGCAATTATGAGATATAAAATCATAAATACAAAGTATAGTAAAGATATAGTTATAGTATAGAAATATTTGCAATTATTAGATATAAAGAACTAAAATCACAGTAATAAAATATAAAGTCGTATTTGCAAGAAAGTCACAATTATGAGAAGTAGACCCAATTTAGATATGTAGTGACAATTCCCAAAAAAATATTGTTGCAGTTACGAGAATTAAAGTCCCAATTTTTTTTAATCTAAAGCAGAAACATGCTTCAACACAATTCTGATTTTTATATTTTTTCATCTATTCTATTTTTAGCAAGACCCACTCTATCCACTTCCCAGCATCCTCCTCAGGCCGAAACGAGAAAACGCAGCCATCCTCCCATCTCATCTGTGGCCCCTGACAGCATGTCACCCTGGCAAGGCTCCTCACACTCGGAGTCCTCCTTTACCAGTTTCCCCCCTCCACTTTCACCCCTTCCTCTTGCCCACTCGAAGCCAATCATAGCACCAGATCCTCCGCCCCCGCCACCCCCTCCTCAAATCAAAAACACTGAACCTGAGAATGGCCAGAGTGCCAGGGTAAAACGCAAACCGCTCCCACCAAGACACCCCCCTAGACCTCCCCATTTACCCCCTCTGAGACAAGTCACAAATCTTAGCTTTTCTCGTAGTTTCACATTTTCATTTTTTGAGCTGCCGGTTCACCAGTCTGCACGGGGCAGAGCAGAGTGCCTCAGAGATCTCACTGTGTTGCTGAGGCAGTTTCAATACTGAGGCAAAACATGATACTGTAAGTTCACATCTAGGGCAGAAATGCATCCTGTGGAAAAACAATGTAAGCACATGAACATCAGATGCTCTATGGCTTCACATCCGTGTTTCATCTATATGCTTAATTTTATTTTTGTTTTATGGATGGATGGATAGATAGATAGATCATTCTAATATGCTGATTTGGTGCTCAAGCATTTATTATCAGTGTAGAAAACAGTTGTTCTGCTTAATATTTTTGTGCAAACTGTGATAATTTTTTTTTTTTTTTTTACAAATTGTACACATTTTTGTAACATACAGTATATACAGTATAACATACATTTTACATTGTTACAAAAACATTCTATATATAGTGGCCAGTGAAGTAATGGAAATTCCTCAAGTTGTGTTTGTTGTTTTTGTTACTTTTTTTTAAGGCTGTTAAATGTATATTTAGAGTGTGTGTGGGTGTGATATTGTTTTTGCCTTCTGATCTTAAGCTCTGTCGACACTTACAGTATATAAACCAATGGAACACAGAGTTTGAGAGAATAACCATGGTGTTTATTATTTAGGTTGGAGACAGCAATTGTGATGAATTATATATGAGGTAACATTATAAATCTGACCTTTAAACAACAGAAAGCAATGAAAATATTTAAGGAGAGAGATTCAGCTTAGATCCGTCCCACATGTGGCCTGAGGTTTTGTTGAGATAGTCAGGTCATGTGCACAGGAATAATAAAGTGGTTTCTTCTGGACGCACATAACAGAATTTGGCGAATTCTCTACACAAGGTAAGAAAACTAATTGATGATAAGCTTATTTACAGTTTTATTGCATAATCACCTGTGCAGTCACCTGTCCTCACGTGTGCTCCTATCAAAGAGTGCTGACACGCAGATGAGCTTTGATGTGTTATCAGTTTTGGCTGCTGATGTCCTGAATCCTTCTTGAGTCTTGATCAGATTCCTGCCAAATGTTGTAATTGGTATACTTTTTAACCTGTGTACTACTATGTGTTAGAAAATTGTTTCCTTACCTTTACATTTCAGTATGGCTTCAAAAATAGTGAAAAACATATTCTGGTGTTTTACCATCTGATTGTGTTGATGATGTGTTGATGTACAGATAACTATATAAATAAAACATTGCAATTAGACTGATGTATGTCTTCTATAGCTTCAGTTTGTACTATATAGGGTCAAAGGTCAGTTTCTACACCATGTACAGGTGCATCTCAATAAATTAGAATGTCGTGGAAAAAGTTCATTTATTTCAGTAATTCAACTCAAATTGTGAAACTCGTGTATTAAATAAATTCAGTGCACACAGACTGAAGTAGTTTAAGTCTTTGGTTCTTTTAACTGTGATGATTTTGGCTCACATTTAACAAAAACCCACCAATTCACTATCTCAACAAATTAGAATACAATTAAAAGAACCAAAGACTTAAACTACTTCAGTCTGAGTGCATTGAATTTATTTAATACACGAGTTTCACAATTTGAGTTGAATTACTGAAATAAATGAACTTTTCCACGACATTCTAATTTATTGAGATGCACCTGTATAAGCATCTTCTCATTGGATAAAACAGCCCTGCCTCCAACATAAAAAGTCACATGCATAATCATTATCTGGAGAACATTATTAAAGTGCTACAATAAAAATAGAAAGTTTAGTACAAGCCGTCGCTCATGTGATGTTGCGTAATATGATCTCTGTTCTCAGGAGTGGTAGGTTAAAGTCTTTCTACCTTTGGTCAAAGCAAAGCCAATGACAGATTTCCTTCACTGATCCGACGATAAATGTTAGTGAACATCTGAGACAATAATAACCCTTTAGTAGCCTGTAGGAGGAAAAGTGTATAATGAATCTATCTCTACCCAATTATAGATGTCCGGTTTAATTGGTTTAGCTACTGTGCTTGCTTGTGAGAACGATAGTAGAAGGTTTGCTCCGGGTTCACACTGAAGTCACAACAGCCTCACACATGGGAAGCATAATCATATGCTCTGTTTTAGGATTGTGCTTGTTTTAGCCACTTCTTCTCCTTTTTTACAGATGGACAATCAAAGATGTTTAGAGAGCGAGAATTTCAATCCCAGTCTCATTTATGGTCTGAATGAAGCACAGCTAGATATCCTGGGACAGCGCAGGTGGAAGGTGCATCGTACAATATGGGGAAAGCTGAAGAAGGAGCGCTGGTGAGTAGGGGAGGTTAAGAAGCATAATGTGATCAAAAAATAAACAGTGTCCATGCTAAATATACACATTGACCCCCATATTTCTTTCTTTTTTTTGTGCTTCAGGTGTTCAGGTCCAAGGCTGAAGAGCTGCTTCCTGTCTATTGCACCTCTCTTGTCATGGCTGCCACAATACTCGCTCAGGAAAACCGCTATTGGAGTTCTGATATCAGGAATAAGTGTGGGAATCATGCACCTGCCACAAGGTTTAAGACTTGCACACACTCTCCTGTGTTATCTGAGTTACAAACTGCTATATGACAACTATTATAAAGTATAAAGAATTTATGTTGATGCAGGTGTCAACATCGATCAAAATAGATTTTCTCTGAGTGTTCTCTGAGAGTGAAGACACTTGAAGTGTCTGTGATGTGAGGGGTCGGTTATGATTTTCATCATCCTGTTTCTCATCTTAGACACCTACCGAACTGTATTATCAGCTGGCAGGCGATAATTTTCTTCACAATGCACTGTGATTCAAACTAGACAGATAAAGTGGATGTAATGACTAATTCTATTGTACAGAACTGCACACACTCTTCTACACACAAATTACAAATTTTCTGACTTTTTGTTTTCTATAGGGATGGCTAATGCTTTGCTGGCTGCAATTCCTCCAGTGTTTGGTCTATATTCGTCCTTCTACCCTATTCTCATTTACTTCATATTTGGAACATCTAGACACATCTCTGTGGGTAAGTACACACACAAACTCTCTCTGCAGGTACATATACATTGCGTACACACATACACAATGCCACTTTGCAAGAAAAAGATATTAAAGGAATAGTTGAAAAAAAATTGTAACAAGCCCATTTGCTGATATTTATTCAATATCAATTTACAGATTTTTGTAAATAATGAAAAAAAAAATTCAGATGAACTGTTGTTTGAGTGAACATTAAAATATAATAAAATAAAATATATGATAACAATCATATAAATAAATAAATAAATATAGAATAATCAAATGATAAAATAAAATACAAAATAAAATCAAGTCTAAAATATATAAAACAAAAATATATTAAATTACATAATAAAGTAAAATAAAACATTAAAATTAAATGTAAAATAAAATCAAGTAAAAAATTGTATAATAAATAATTAATAATAAATAATATATATATAATTAAAATGTAAAATAAAATAAGTATAACATGTAACAAAATATAAATAACAATAAATTAAATAAATAATTAAAATAAAATGAAGTATAAAATACATAATAAAATAAACAATAAAAATATATAATACAAAAAATAAACAATAAAAAAAGTTAAAGCATATATTAAACATTATTTAACATGTAATAATGGCTTTGTTCTTATTTGATTGGACGTTCTGTCCATTTTTCTGTCCTTTCCATCATGGTCGGTACGGTGACTGGTGATGTTGTGTTGGCAGGCCAGGCAGTGGAGCAGAGAGTGCTGAGATTGTGGCTGAAAGTGTTTGCCTTTGCAGCTCAGTTGACCATTCTGTGTGGACTGATACAGGTCATTCACGCACAAGCTGTATTAATTCTGTATTGGTGTGTGTGTTTGTGTATAAATCTCTCTCCCTATAGATTCTACTTTATGTGCTGCGTTGTGGATGGGTGTGTCGGTGGTTGTCTCAGCCATTGGTCAGTGAATACACTACAGCAGCTGCTGTCCATGTGACTGTTCACCAGCTGCGTTTACTGATGGGCATCTCCATAGTCAGACACAGAGGCATCTTTGCTGTGTTCTGGGTGAGAATGAGCACTGTGTGATTTATATCTGTGTTCATTTCAGATGTTAAATGTACACACAGTATGTGTGTCCACCAGATGTTTTCAAACATTGTGACTGGAATCAGGAGAGTGTTACTGGCGACACTGGTAGTGTCCTTTGTCTACCTGGTGGTACTTGTTGGTGGAGAGATGGTGAATTCACTCTGGAGCACTCGATTTCTAATTCCATGGGAGTTGGTACTGGTGCGCACATGCACAATTTTGTTTTTAGATTTTATTTAAGTTTTCAAATTTCTCCGTCTAGTGTTTAATACATTACATTTAATACAGGCAGGTTTAAAGTTTTTTTATATGATCAAAAACTAGAATTTGTGGGCTTTTATATTTAATTTCAGTTAGTTGAAAATGTAATTTAGTTTGTGTTAGTTTATATTTTTGATTAAATTAATGAGAATGTTTTTTTATTTATTTTACCTTAACGTTAATAACACTGACTTTGGTTTCAGTTTTATAAGAGATTTCGGTGCAACAGTTATTCTTTCTTCATTTTCCTAGATTATCTTTGCCACTCTGTCATCAGTGCAGTTTGAGCTGTCCGGTCAGTATGGAATACAGATTGTTGGACCCATACCAACCAGAGTGTTGGATTTTCTTTACAAAACCAATTAGCAGGAAGTATTTAGGTGCTAAAACTAATTTTCTCTCTCCTTTTGTCCCATTTTCTCTCTCTTTGTTTACCTCTAAGTCTCTCACCTCCCTCCTTTCCATCATTTTCTGTCTCTCAGGAGCTATTATTGACAGCTCTTGCGTTGGCAGTGGTGGGCTATGGTTTTCAAGCTTCATTGGGCATGATGTTTGCTCATAAACATGGGTACCCCTTTCACAGCAACCAGGTAACAAGCAATTTATGTAACTTCAAGAACTTTAGTTTTTTCCCTCCAACCTCCCAAAAAGACTAGTATAAATGCCAACTTTGCAGCATTCCCTTCGTCTGAACATAAATGGTTTCTTCCTCCTATAGGAGCTGTTGGCTATGGGTCTGTGCAGCTCCATTGGCGGGATGTTCCAGTGCTTTCCAGTAAGCGGATCCATGTCTCGCAGCACAGTGCAGGAGAGTACAGGCGGACAAACTCGGGTGTGAACACCTGCTATTTCTGGTTAATAAAACAACCTCAAGTTACATTTACATGTACATGCACATAACCTGGGAGGATTGCATTGAATGTTTTCACAGAAAATAGTTATACTGTTATATACCCTACAATACATTTAAAGTACATATATATATACTGAAATTCAAAAAGCCTATGAGATTAAAAAAAAAAACTTTTTGTATTAATTATTTCAAATAAAAAAGCTAAAATATGGTTGAATTGAAAGTCACAGATCATTAACATCGTTGTCACTCTTATCAGAAAAGTGATAAAGCAAACTGATAAAATGTAAACCACATACACGAAAGAAACTGATTTTTCAAAATAATGTATGTTTAGGTGTGGAGCAATGCAGTAAGAGCTTTACTCCATGAACATGACCTCTCTCTTTCTCTCAGGTTTCTTCTCTGGTGTCTGCACTGATAATTCTTTTGATCTTGTTGAAGTTTGGCTCCCTTTTTCAGCAGTTACCAAAGGTCCCAATACCACCTTCAATAACAAAGTATAAATTATATGGATATAGTATAATAAGGTGGTTTTATAAAGTGTATTTGTGTTTCAGACAGTTTTGGCTGTCATTATTTTAGTGAATCTGCAAGGGGTTTTTGCACAAGTCAAAGATGTGCCTAAACTTTGGAATACAGACCGCTTGGACCTGGTAAGGGAAACCAATCCATTTATCCTTACATATCTGACCCATGTACAACATGTTCCAAAATCCAGTTCCATGTAGGCCTCTCATCCAGGGTGTTTCCTGTGTGTTTCCTACTGAGACTGCAGGTAGTGTGGGTAGTGACACTGCTCAGTGCCCTGGTGTTTAATCTGGACCTGGGGCTTGGCATTGCAATTGTTTTCTCTCTTTTTACCATCGTGTTCAGGACACAGCAGTGAGTCATCTGTATTGTCTGATATTCTGATATTTATCTACAGTATCTCCCTCTATTTCTCTATCAGATTTTCATCTTTCTCATACTAACTCTTATTCTACCTGTTTCTAAATTTCTCAGGCCCAGATCTTCCATTCTTGGGCATATTGCTGGCACAGACTGTTACAGGGATCTGGACAAATACTCAAGGGTATTATTTGCACACAATCCAGCTAGAAATCAGCCTAAGCTCTTTTGAAATGTGGTTAATCATCTTAAGCAGTTCCTCAGCTTAAACAAAGTGATCTGCCAGCCCTACCAGTTGTTTTTATTTTTCAGTTGAGCAACTACCTAAACCAGCTAATGACCATAAATTACCAACAACATACTACCGATTTTTTATAAGTTTGAAATAATTAATATTTTTTCAGCATTTTTTTTTTTTTTATGTTTTCAAGTCTCTTATGCTCACCAAGGTTGCATTTATTTGATCAAAAATATAGTTATTGTAAAATATGATTACAATTTAAAATAATTGTTTACTATTTTAATATATTTTGAAATGTAATTCCTGTGATGGCACAGCTGAATTTATTAATATGAATTATATATAACAATTATATATTTTATAAATAATTGTATTAATTGTATTACTTATTAATATTACATATATATTAGAAGTGTTCCTTCTAGTACATATGTATAATATAAATATAAATCCCTGAATTTTGTGTTGGTTCAGGCACACCAAGTCCCTGGAGTTGACTGTGTTTTCCTGTTGTAATCCACTTTACTACGCTAATGCAGACCAGACCTTCACATCACTCAGACAGGTAGAACATCTGTTACAGCTCCCTGCTTTCCATTTACTGAGTTCAATTTTATTATTCTTTTTGTATATGCAGGCTGTTAGTAATGACATTAATGAGAATCCTGAAGTAAGTCCTCCAGACCAGCAGGGGGTTCAGAGTGCGTTATTCTGGAGCTCAGTGGAGTCACCTTCATGGACATTAAAATCATTTAGTGTCACAGAACAAACTTCAGTCAACTTGTTTTTGTTTTTCAGATCAAAATGTATTGCCCAGTTGCAGCGCGTTGAGCTCTCTCGGCCACCGTGCATCCCTACACCGAACACACACATGTAACCACACGTAGAAGTGTTGATATTTTACCAGAGATGAACAGAAATAGGTTACTTGTTACTGGCTCTCATTAACTGCTAACCAATAAATGGCTTTTTAAATTCTGCTGGGTCACAGGTACTTCAGGAATTTGAGAACACGCAGACCTTGTTTTTCTGTGCTGCATGTCCAGGTTACACATCTCACACGTACAGCTACAGTCTCAGATGTAGTGTCATGATCTGAGGTGTTTTATATTAATATGTAACATGACGTTTAAAGGGATAGTTCATCCTCAAGAACTGGTATTTTATATATTTAATGAATTCATTTATTTATTGTATCTCTTGTGTGTTTGTCTCTATATGGTTTACTATCTCAGATGAAGAATCATGGTTTTGTTCCAGATTTTCTGTCTCTTTCTTAATTTTTCCCTTCAGTGCATCATGCAATCCTGCACTACCAGGGGCTACAGGTGTGTGTGTGTGTGCTTAAATGATGTTATATATAGTCTCCTTGTTATTTTTGCTCTTTGTGTTTGTATGCTGTAGTAGTTCACTGTAATTCAATAGCGTTTTCTGTTCTAATTCAATTACGCATCTATTTACAGAACACAGGCACACATGTTACAGAGCTGTGACCTACCTCACTTCCTGAACGATGAACTCGACAAATACATGAACTTGCAAACCTGAAAAAAAAAACTCACTACCGAGCTTTAGAAGTGACACTTCAAGATAGAACGGAAAAGGAATACAAGAACTTCCAATTTTGATTTAATGATTTGGATCAATTTTGTGCATTCATCTGGATTTAAGGTGATGTGTGGCAACAGTTGTTTGTTTATCAGGTATTGAATATTAAAATAAAACTTGACAATGACTTATGTCAGTTTATACCTTTGTACCTTTGTATTTTTTAATTGTTCTTTTATTTACGTGCTTGTTGATTTGTTCTGTTTTTAAATCACATTTTTCGTTATTATTCTACTTTTAGATTAGATGACTGTTTAAAATAGTTAAAATTGCTCAAATATGAAGAGTCTTCAAAACATGTCATGCAGGTCTGTGCATATGTAATCTTCTAGATTAACATATATTTCATGTTACAGACAAATTTGGTTCGGTGATGTTGTAAAATAAATAAAATATGTAGTAAAATAAATAATCTATGTACACAATTACAACATATAGATACATGAATAGCATGGAAAAGAATTATTAACACTCCAGTCAACACAAACAATATAAAATCCAACAGAATCACAAAAGGCCGACTGACAACAACCAAACTGCTCCAGCTCAGTACAGTTCAGTTAGTATGCGTGAAGTTCACACATGTGCATTGCTGAAATGTTCTTGTACCCCCAGTGAATTGGACCATAAATGTCATTAGAAGAGACTTTGTTCTCTAGGCAGGTGTTGGGGAGGGGCCACATTAATATTTAATAAGCTCATCTCTCTCACATGCATATACAATAAGATTCTATTGTATAAAACTGATCATAATGACAGACTAACCCTAACTCTACAGAAACAGAAAACTTTTTTTGGTATTTTCGGGTCAAATGAAATGGAACTCCAATAGAGGATGTTCCCAAATTCCGCTAAAGGAATGTTTTGTCAGTATTACCTCATTTTTAGACAGTGTTTGTCCCCAAACTATAGTTAATGTATATATATCTAGTTAAAAATATAAACAGTCATAATTACATGACATAATTACAATTTATATATGGTCTGTATATTCTCAGATAAAGATGGCTCTACTTCACTGGATCAAAGCAAACACCTCAGAGATCTTGTAGCAGAGATGTGATTTCAAAGATCACAATTCACTCATACAAAAGCACATGGTTTTGCAGAATGAACATGTTTTCTATCTAATCAGGCCGAGATAAGGTGGCGTAGGTCTCTAGTGTGAAAGTTTCCAACATTGACTCATTGAAGAACCCCCCCTCCTCTCTTTTTGGGACTTTGCTCCCCATATGAACATTAGAATTCTATCAGTGAGTGTGTGAATGGATCATACGGGTGTCAGAAAGGGCAGGATACACATTAACACAAACTGTGATTGAAGAAAAGGGCCAGGGACGTTAATTAATCCATTGCTGTCCAGAGCTTCACTGCACAAGCAGCATACCTGTGGAGCTGTCACTTCGAATAACTGGAGAACATCCTTCAGAATTGTTCTGGGCCTGTTTGCGTGGACATTAAGGATTTAATTTTCATTGTGAGGACATACATTTTGGGATCTATGCACTGGAATTATTTTATAACATTTCAGGATCACATTTAAGATAGAGAGGATTCAAAATGGAGGAGGAGATGAATGTCAAAGATCTCAGGAAAAGGGTACCATATCAAATTCAGAGAGATGTACTGGATGAGCTCAGTGTCGATCAAGTTGCTGAGAAATCGGATTTCAAAATTTCAACAAAAGAAAAACTCAGAGATGCTGTCAGGTGTGTCAATATGGCCTTTCTTGTCAATATTGTACTGCTTGAGAACTGAACTAGGTTGCACATTTAATTGAAAATGCTCCTATTTTGCATTTTTCTAATTTAATTAATGTATTTACAATTTGTATCAGCATCATAATTTAAGAGAAAAGTTTAATTGAAAAAAAAATCTCAGTATTTGGTTTGTACTCATTTTGGAAGCAGTATTAGTTATAGCTAAAAAAAATTGTGTACTGTGAAACAAATTTAACTTGTTTTTGGCTAGTAAATGTTTTACAAATTATTACAAAGAAATGGCAAATAACTGAATTAAATGACATTTTAAGTACAAAGACTGAAATTTAATTTTCTTGTAAAACATACTCCAATAATCTTGAACTTAACAACATGAACTCCACAATTTTGTATCCAACCTCATGATCATGTTGTCCAGCATTTAATTGAGAATGATCCAAATAGCATCTTGTGCTTTAATGGATGCAACAACATCAGGTGTACAGGCCCAAGATTTAAGAGCTGTTTCCTATCATTTGTTCCTCTCCTGGCATGGCTGCCACGATACCCGTTTCGAGAAAATGCTATTGGAGATCTAATATCAGGAATCAGTGTGGGAATCATGCACCTGCCACAAGGTCCAACACAAGCACATGCACACCTGCATTGCCAAAACACACACATTACTTAAGACAGACCTAAACAAAAACACACGTGTTTTGTGGGTGCAGGTATGGCGTATGCTTTGCTGGCTGCGGTCCCTCCTGTTTTTGGTCTGTATTCCTCCTTCTACCCCATTCTCATCTACTTCATATTTGGAACATCCAAACATATCTCTGTGGGTAAGTACACACACCTCCCTTTGATTTCTGTTGTTCCTAAAGGTATCGTTCACACAAAAATGAAAATTCTGTCATCATTTACTGTCCCTCATTTCATTCCAAATCTGTTTCCATGGAACACACACACACACAAATCACATCAATCTTTTCTATACAACAACAGTTCATGCTCCAAAAAGCATCATGAAAATAGTCTCATGACTCTTGTGCTGTATTCCAAGTCTTCTGAAATCATTCAATAGCTTTGTGTAATTCACTGATGATCTTCACATCTTAACGGGTTACTTTCTAATCTCTCTGTCAACAGGTACATACGCAGTTATGAGCGTTATGATTGGCAGCGTGACAGAGCGTTTGGCTCCAGACTCAGACTTCATGATACCAGGCAATGACACCAACAGCACCACCTTGGACATTGTCGGCCGTGATGCGGAGAGGGTCAAGATCGCGGCCACTGTGACTTTCTTATCTGGCATTTTCCAGGTAGGTTAATTTGTAAGTGTATGTGGCTTTGACATTGTGTATGTGACTAAGTGTTTGTGTGGTGTCTGTGTGTGTAGTTACTCCTCGGTGTGGTTCGGTTCGGTTTTGTGGTGACGTATCTCTCAGAGCCATTGGTGAGAGCTTATACAACAGCGGCCGCCATTCACGTTATCGTCTCCCAGCTCAAATATTCCTTTGGCATCAATCCACAGCGGTACAGTGGACCTTTGTCTCTTATATATGTGAGTCTGAACACAAACACACACACAGTCCCAAACACTTAATTAAGGACTATCCTGAAGCGGTATGTAAAAGGCCACAGATAAGGACGGATAATCATACCTATGTGTGATTTGTGTTTAATGCCCCCTAGTGGTTGGGATTATTATTTGCACTCAGCAAGTTACATTTAATAATGTTTTCTCTATTTATTTATTTTTCTTTCTCTCTCCAGACAGTCATAGAGATTTGTGCATTGCTCGGAAAGACTAATATTGGTACTCTGGTAGTTAGCATTGTAACCATCTTAGGTCTGGTCGCTGCAAAGGAACTTAGTGCCTTGGCAGCACGCAAAATCCCTGTTCCGATTCCTGTTGAGCTGATCACTGTAAGTTGCTTTTACAGTTACAGTTAAACACACACATGCACATACATGTTTACTTAACTAACTGTGGGCATACATAGACTTATTTATATTCATATTTTGTATTTATTTACAATAAAATGTAATTGTAGTTTTTTACTCTATCAAAAATGTCATCAGTTTTGCATGCTCTTTCTGTTTAGAGGTAATGTAACATATTGCTTCTTAAAGCTTTCATCTTGTTTGTGTGTATAGATTATCGTCGCTACTGTGGTGTCATGGCAGATGGATTTGAAGACTGAATATGGTGTTGAAGTGGTTGGAGAAATTCCATCAGGGTGAGTCCAACACACAACTATGCAACATAGTATGTGTATAACATGGTAATGGTTACAGCTACAAAACACAACCGCAGCATCATAGTACATCTTCAGGCTCAAATGCTCATCTGCATTTCTTCTTCACATCTTAGTCTGCAGGCTCCTGTGGCGCCCGCTGTCTCACTGTTGGGTTCAATGGTCGGTGATGCTTTTGCACTGGCTGTTGTTGGTTATGGTATTGCTATCTCACTGGGTAGAATTTTCGCCCTCAAATATGCCTACAAAGTCGACAGTAACCAGGTAAGTGACTGTAAAAGATGATTTTTATTTGAATACATTTGAATGTGTATATATATTTATATACACACAAATATATATGCACACATTAAATTGATCAACAGTGACAGTAAGGACTTTTACATTATTACATTGTTACAAAAATTATCTATTTCAAATGAATGGCATTCTTTATACAGTATTCATCAAAGAATCTTGAAAAAAATATTAAGCAGCACAAATGTACCATGCAGGGGCGTGTTCAGAGTTTTGGAGGCCCTAAGCAAGCGGTCCCTGGGGGGCCTCCTCGTTAGAAATCACGTGATTTGCTTGGTTTGTGTGGTGTCTAAACACACTACTGGTTCCACGTTAGAATGATTTCTGAAGGATCATGCAACACAGAAGACTGGAGTAATGGCTAATATATAATATATTTTTCACTTTTAAAGTCAAATTTAGTGTCAACATAAGACTAACAGCATAGTAAAACTGCAAGAATGGAAAATATAGTTTTAAGTTCAGAATATTTTCTTGGAATTTTAGTTCTTACATTTAAACCCAGTTGCCAGTTAAACCCAATTTTCCCACCGAGGCACATCTGAAAAACTCAGTTTGTTTTTTTGGTCTTTTGCTAAGTTGCTGAAAGTCATTGATCTAAATCAAAAACATCTGGAAAAAAAAAACATTTTTGTTTGAACATCTTGTGTTTTTCTTCTACTGTCTGTTCTCTGGACCAGGAGCTCATCGCATTGGGTCTATCTAACTCCGTTGGAGGCTTATTCAATTGCTTTGCTATCAGCTGCTCTATGTCTCGCAGCATGGTGCAGGTCAGCACAGGGGGGAAGTCACAGGTGAGAACTTCAGCAAACTGCAGTCTGACATAATGTCCTTTTCCACCATTCTTTAGCTAGTTCTGGATAGATGGATGGTGAGTTCCTTAGATTATTGTTTGGTGAAAGTTCAAACTAAAACCTCTCTCTATCATTCTCTCAGGTGGCTGGAGCGATTTCTGCTGTGGTAATTCTGGTGATCTTGTTAAAGATTGGCGAACTCTTTGAGGAGCTGCCAAAGGTTAGTACCCGGAATCAGCCCTTGTGTGGGCTGGCTTTAATATTCATAAGATAAAAGTATCTGTGCTGAATTAATGAATGTGATAATGTGTCCATTTACAAAGAGATAGACATATTATACATATGTGTGCTGGCTTCATTAGGCTGTGCTGGCTGCTATAATCTATGTAAACCTTCAAGGCATGATGAAGCAGTTTGGAGACATCTGCTCTCTCTGGAGGACCAACAAAGTGGATATGGTGAGAGAGAACGAGAAGGAGGGGGTTTCATTAAAAAAGCAAATCTTATGCAACACATTCCAAATAGACCTATACATAGACAAAAAAATTACTGAGAATGGGGAGAGTGAATAGTGTGACACAGAAAAAAGGTCAAAAGTAAAGCTCTGAAGTGACAGCTGTTATTCTCTCTGTTGTTTGTGTGTTTAGGTGGTGTGGGTGATGACTATGATCTTGACAGTGTTGTTTAATCCTGATCTGGGACTAGCTGCATCTATCGCCTTCTCCATCCTCACTGTCGTCTTCAGAACTCAGCTGTGAGTGACAGAAACCACATACACAAAGCTAAATAATTAACAACCGCACTGTGTCACATGCACCATTTTCCTATAGTCCTGAGCCTTAAATGACTCAACCACATACATGTGCACCGTTTACATACTTAAGTGAGAATGTAAAACTGGTTCTGCATGCAGTCTCCTGTTTTACTTTACACTGCTGAAGATCCCAAGAGATCTTCAGTGATGAACGTCAGGTTGCATTTCCTTTTGAGATCCATTAGATTGGCCATATGTACCACTGGCTTAGTGGCTGAAATTTCTGTTCTTGACAGCATCATTTCAACAGTTGGCATAAGAATTCACCATCTGTCCCTCCTTGTTTTGACTCATTTCTTCTTCTATACCGGTTTCTTCTCCCTACAACAGACCAAAATACTCTATTCTTGGCCAGGTTCCTGGCACTGACATCTACAGACCAGTAGAGGACTACCATCAGGTGACCATGACCATGACAACACCACCACCAACACCATTATAACAATTTATGCATGTTCACTGTATTCAACTGATTCTTTAGTTTTGATAGTTATATTTCACACATCAGAGGTGTTACACAATTTATTTTGTTGGATTGAAAGGCATAATTCATCTTTAAATTCTTGTTGTTTTCTATGTCCTTTTGAAACAGCCTGTAACCTGAATGGTTAAAAACCTGAATTACAGCATACTTCCAGAAACTCCTTTCATGCAACCTTATCTTAGATAATCTAGCTTTACAAGGGCATGACGTGTTTTTTACTTGTTTTGGTGTTATTGTGTTGGTTACTATTTGCTTAACAGTTCTGGGGTGCGTTTGAATGAGTGGTTGTTGTAGTTTCATTTACTGAGTGTGTAACATGATGGTGCTGTAAGCAAGACCTAGTTATAAATAGTATTTATGAAGTATCTAATATCTGTTATGTGTGCATTTTGTTGTAGTGCTATTGAAACTATATACTTAACTATGCCTTTTTTAGATTTTGATGTAAAATGTAATTGGCCACAACACAGTATTTGACTTTTAGCAAAACGTTTTAGTAATGACCATTGTTCAAGATGGATAGAAATGACTCAAGTGATAAACATTTAGTCAATAAACAACTATTCCCAACTTTCTTCTGATAAATTTGAAGTTTGGTAACTGGTTTCAGGAATTTTTTTTCTAGTGTCTTCTAGAGCCTCAGTCAGAACACATTACATTTAATTTGAGCACTGAGAAAACTGTAGTCACAAATATTGATTTACAAGGTTTGTGCAGTTATTTTGAAAAGTATTTAGAAATTCTTGATTTCGTCATTAAATTGGATGAAAAAGGTAATTTTTAAAATTATTTTATGTTATTTTGAGTATAATTTCTCTGTAATTTTTGCACACTTACAGGTGAAGGAGATTCCTGGTATAATGATTTTTCGTTCATCTGCAACATTGTACTTTGCCAACGCTGAAATGTACATTGATGCACTCTATGAGAAGGTAGACACACACAAACACCATGCACACATATACTCTCATACATATTCATTCACACACATTTGCATAAAGAGCAATTACAAGACATTACTCTACTAAACTAAACAGGCAATTAGCCCAAACATAAACATTCACTGTGTGATTAGCCCAAACAAGCTACATACAACACGCGCACAGGTCAGGACATTCATGCAGTAAAAATAAATGTTTGTGTTTGTGAGCAGACTGGGGTAGATGTGGCTAAACTTCTTTCACACAAGAAAAAACTGGAAGCAAAGAGACTCCGAAAAGAAAAGAAAGCTGCAAAGAAAGCAAAGAAAGAGGCCAAGAAAAGAGCTAAAGAAGCTGCTGTTAAAGCTGCTAAGGTCTGCATTTGAAGAGACTGTGTGTGTGTGCATGGAAATAAGTGAGAAAATAAGTGTTTGCGTATTCTGACTGAGTCAGTCGTCTCTGCTTTTAACCAGGGGGAGGAACCACAGTTTTCGGACACAGATGAAAGTGGGGAAGAGCCAGAGTTGTCACATGCAGAAGCAAATGGGGATGTGAATAAGTTGTCAGTCAAAGAACCAAAGGATGTGGCTACTGTGGAGGTGGGGCCTGACCCTGACCCTGACACCACGCTCCCACGGGCAATCATTCTTGACCTGAGCCCAGTCAACTTCCTGGATACAGTTGGCGTGAAGACTCTATGCAATGTGAGAGACAATCTGTACTCATTAGCAACTTATTGAACATGTAACGGGTTTTAACCTTTTTAAAACCTTTGTTTAATGACAGATCTATAAAGATTACGGAGAGGCTGGTGTACAGGTGTACTTATGTGGCTGCCAGAGTGAGTGACCAGTACATACCAATAAGTTTTGACTACATTTTAAAAATACAGAACCTTTATTTTTAAAAGTGTACTCTTCCATGTCACATGTTCCTTTTGTTGTGTTTGTTGATGTGGAATCCCATCTAAGTGTGCAGTCAAGATGGATCTGTTGGTCAGCACTATTTGTAATATCTCTCCCTCTTTCAGGAGGTGTTATAGAGAGTATGGAGAAGGGCGATTTCTTCAATGAGAAAGTAACTAAATCGATTCTCTTCTCATCAGTACATGATGCTGTTCTTTACAGTCAACAAGGAAACAGCAAGGAGGTACAGTACATCCTTATCTCACATACACACATATCAGAGGTTTCCTAATCTTAATTAGACGTGTTGAATGTTGGTGGCCCAGACAGTATTTCGAAACAAACATGCATGAATAAACATCATTTCTTGCCTTTCTACTTTTACAGGTTATGCAGGGAACACATTTGTAAATCCAAACACCAAACGTGATATGGAATGTTCCGGAACATAAAGCTGGATTGTTATTTATTGTTTATTTCATAATGGGGAAGAAAAAGTTAAGGAGGTCTTTCGATTAATAATTCGCTTTTTTTAAATAATAAAAAGAGACTCTTTTGAATGTAAAATATCTTCAAATGGATCAGCTGTAGAATTTTATTGTGGAAGGCAATTAAAATGTAAATCAAAAATTTTTTTTTTAATTTCACTTAGCTGTGAAACATCTAAGTGACAGGTTATTCCAGGTTGTGATACTGTAGAGTTTCAGGTACATGATGACACTGAAATATTACACAAGACTGTAAACCCAGTTTTCACAATATAATCAGACTCCTGGAAAGTTCCAATTTTAGCAATATACACTACAGTACAAAAGTTTGGGGACAGTATTTTATTTTTAATTGATCAAAAGTGTCAGTAAAGACATTTAAAATGTTACAAAAGATTTCTGCCAAATAAAAGCTGTTGTTTTGAAATTTCTATTCATCAAAAAATCTTGAAAAATATGTATAATGGTTTGCACAAAATATTAAGCTGCACAACTCTTTTCAACATTGATAATAATATGGTTTAGCATGGTTTTAGCATCAAATCAGCATATTAGAATGATTTCTGAAGGATCATGTGACACCAAAGACTGGAGTAATGGCTGCTGAAAATTCTGCTTTGCCATCACATGAGTAAATTTTAGAATTTTTTTTAAAATAGGAAACAGTTATTTTAAAATGTAATAATATTTCACAATATTACTGTTTTTACTGTATCTGTGATAAAAAAAAAATGCAGCCTTGGTGAACATAAGAGACTTCTTTTAAAAACATTAAAAAAATCTTTAGGACCCCAAACCTTTGAATGGTAGTGTAGTATTACCATTATTAAAAAAATCAGTTTATGTATTTAAGTGTGTATATGCTATGTATGGTGTTTGTTAACTTTGTATGCAAGTGTATTTTCATTCTAACTTAAATAAAGTAAATTTCTTATTCTTGTGGTGAATTGTTAGTAGGCCTATCTGCCATGTTAGATTACCAGATATCTGTGAAAATATTTAATACAAAAAAACAGGTTTGGAGTTCTCATATTCCTCTTTTTTATGTTCGGTCTGAAGTGCTGATAAGCATCTCAGTGATATTTAAAATTTATTACGTAGTTCATTTTCATTTGATGGGTGCTGTTTTCCTGTATGAAGACACATTCAGAAAGTTCATAAATAGTGACTTTATGTAAATGGTCTTCCCATAACAAGTTTCCGAAAAACTGGTAATTCCAGCATAATCCCAACAGGAAAAGACCATCTAGAACCCGCCCAAGTACCCGCATATTGTTTCAAGAACAGATTATATGTTTCCTGTGACAAAAGCACAAGTGGTGTGCATCTGACTTACTGTGCACATAAAAGGTGAATAAATAGCTAATATGTTACAGATATTTCACCTGTCTATCACACAAAGACTAGAAAACAACTCCAGTACTGAACAGCATTAGTCTCATACCTGAAGCTTAGCTCTCTCAAGACTTATTGAAAGACAGTCGACATATGAAGATGAATGAGTTTAATCAATCTCATTCAGCTGTAACGAATGTGAAAGAACCGAGAGAGAGAGAGAGAGAGAGAGAGAGAGAGCGAGAGAATATATATATAGAGAGAGAGAGAGAGAGAGAGAGAGAGAGAGTTTTGTATGTATGTGTTGGCGGTTTCTCACACAGCTCCCCTTTCATTCTTTCTCCACCCATAAGGCGGCCGCTCAGCATCTGTGTGTGAGCGGATCAGAGTTGAGCCCAGTGCGGGAAACAGCAGCAGGCTGAGCGCCGCTGTCAACGACCGGCTCCGATACCGGACCACTGACTCGAAAAGTTGACTTGATTTCTGTCTCCAGCATTCAGTCTGTTGCAAGTTCAGGTAGGTGGTTGGTTGAATTTGTTGTTGTTGTTTAATATCTAGTAAATATGATTCTGTATTAAAAAATGGGGAATCACCTTTTCCAAGCACTGTTTAATACAGACATAATCTAAGACGGGCACGCGCACCAAGTCACGGGAATTCACGTTCCTTAAAGAAACTGCGTGTTTACATGTTAGGGGCAGAAAACAGATTTGTTTTATATCAATAAATAGTTCTCCACACCTATGACCATTTATCTTTGTTATGGGCACAAATATAATCAAAACTAGAAAGAATTAGGCTCTTAAAAAGCAGACCCGTTTGGTGACATTTTTTACGGATACTGACACTTAGTCAGCTGAGAAATGCATAGCATTTTGAAGAAGTATTTAGACATGTGAAAATAAATTTGAAAAAAAAAAAGGACAATTAACATTGCGTAAATAAAACGGCATTAATAATTAGGCTATTGTTGATTATCATTAATAGACTGTAGACCGATAATCGGTTTGGTGGATTTTTTATGGATTATTTTTCAACACTTAGCTCAGAAGGGCATTGCATTTTAAACTTAGACAAACAAATAGACTGTGAAAATAAAAAATGGCCATTTAGATGGCAAAACGACGTAATTTCAGGGCCGCTGCTGGCCAAATGGGTGCCCTAAGCAGAATTGTATTGTTGTGCCCCCTCCCCAAAATATTATGGAAGTAAAAAAAAACACCTACTATAGGGGTCAAAATAGAACTTTAATAAAATATAAAAGTAAATAACTAAATTGTAATTAAATTGTATTATTTACAAATTACAATTGTAGACAGTCGCCTATGGCTATGATTTTACTAATACATTTGTCTGATTGATTTTATAGTCTCAAGCATTCCGAAGTCATACAAAAGAAAATTAAGCAGTTTTACTACGATAAAACCAAGGATTAGTTTTTGTAAATGTTGTGATGTCCACATGTTTTTGTTGAAGAAATTATAGAGGCTAGCATTTCTATCGCAAAAAGGTGGCCAAACATTAAAGATTAAGTAGATATTTTAATTAAATGTTTGGTCAATATTAAGGAGGATTTGATCATCCTGAAAGTGTTACAACAGCAATTACCAGGCCTTTGGCGCCCTTTGCAGGCATTTGTAATAATATGTAATGTAAATAAATTGTTTATTTTGTATTACATTATGTATTTTAACAGTGTTATTCAATGAAACAATACGATTATTATTAATTTACCAATCATTATTGCCTCATTGTTTTTATATAATGCATTTTATGTCATTTTAAAGGCTGTTGTTCGCTTAGGTCTGTTTTTATTTCCACAAAAATATTATCTGAATACTTCGTAAATTATTATTTGAAGCGATTTGAAGTATCAAAACCATGGTTAATTTGTGGTTACCATTGCTACAAGAACCAAGTTTTTTTTTTTTTTTAATTCGTAGTAAAATTATGGTTAGGCCTAATTTTCGTAAGGGAACATGGAAACTGAGAGAATATTAAGGCAGATGCGGCGGTGATATTATTACCGACATTAAAACACGTTATTAACGTCAACATCCAAAAAAGTTTCACATGATTATGAACGTACCTACAAGTGATGCACGGGCTTCATCTTGGGCGTTTTTGTTATTTTTCTTATCTCGGCGCCGGACTACTGATGTCTTTTCCCGGGCATAGCTGTCCATCAGTTGTGATCATTTGCGTTATGTACATTAAGCAATAACAAAAATTAAAAAATTTAAAAAGTTGTGATTATTTGCAGTCAGCCGCAAACATGAGGTGAGAGCCAGCGCGGGCGCGGACGCGGGAATGGCGCGTCACGTGTGCTTCGCCTGTCTACTGCATTCACTGTAAAACGCATTTTTATAATTATGTATATATGTTCATGTTTATATTTTTATTTACGTATATGTATATGTTAATATTAATATAGAACAAAAGTTTTTTTGTTTTTTTTTGAGCAACTGGGATGGTGCCCATCCCAACCCCCTGGGAGTTGGTGCCCTAGGCAAACTACGTACTCTGAGTATAAGGAGCGGCGGTAGACATTAAAACACGTTATTAACGTCAACATCCAAAAAAGTTTCACATGATTATGAACGTACCTACAAGTGATGCACGGGCTTCATCTTGGGCGTTTTTGTTATTTTTCTTATCTCGGCGCCGGACTACTGATGTCTTTTCCCGGGCATAGCTGTCCATCAGTTGTGATCATTTGCGTTATGTACATTAAGCAATAACAAAAATTAAAAAATTTAAAAAGTTGTGATTATTTGCAGTCAGCCGCAAACATGAGGTGAGAGCCAGCGCGGGCGCGGACGCGGGAATGGCGCGTCACGTGTGCTTCGCCTGTCTACTGCATTCACTGTAAAACGCATTTTTATAATTATGTATATATGTTCATGTTTATATTTTTATTTACGTATATGTATATGTTAATATTAATATAGAACGAAAGTTTTTTTTTTTTTTGAGCAACTGGGATGGTGCCCCCCGGGAGTTGGTGCCCTACGCAAACATAGGGAGCGGCGGTACTGTGTAATTTAACGGAACTAATTATTAAGAATTCACAATTAACATGCTTTTATTGTTGTTATATTGTAATAATTTTTTAGTTATTATTGTGTAAAATTAATAATCAGTTCTGCAAATTGGTTATGCAAACATGATATTCTGTATCTGTTGTAAATAAAAACAGTATTGGTTGAGAACTATAGGCTGTGTAAGGCTAACGCATGAAAACATCTAAACGTGTGTCCTGTCATTCAGTGTTTCTCCGGGTTGAGAGAATGGGCCGCTTAACTGTGCCTATACTATAATAGTCAGTGCTGGCCTCGATTATCTGTCGACCCAAATAGCCTAAATAGATTGGGCTCAAATTAATTGGCAGGTCGATGCATTGGCACTGGCAGCTTCTCTCACTGTCTCCCTCTTGGCATGCTGTCAGTCACAAACAGTCCTGCAGTGCACTCGCTATTTTTGTTCCTGTCTATTGGAAACTGCTCAATGCGCTGACAATAGACTCTCTTTGAACCGTCGGTCCATTTAAAAGCGCGCGCGTGCTTGTGTACATGTTGCTAAGGGATCAGGACAGTCAGTGTTA